ATAAAACTAGTAATGATACTATATATCACAATATTTAATTTATGGTCTTGATAGTTTTGTAGTCCTTTTTGTTTATTATCGAATGCCATAACTAAAAACCTGTTAGGCAAAGCTTTTTTACTCTCAGATAGCCTGTCCAACCATTTTTAAAAATGCGAATAGCTTCCAGAGCATGTAATATGATTATCGATATTGATGATTGTTTTTGATCTCACAATAGAATATTTTATAGCTGACATAGCAAGATTTATTTCTAAAACATATTTGCATGCCTTGACCCATATATTAAATCAATAGCCATTATTTTTTTGAAATTTTTTTGGCATTCAATAAATCTAAATCAAGATTATTATTGTTAGATATTAGTACTTCAATAAATCTTACAATTACTTAATTATGCTTATTTAACCATATTTATAATGTATAATTTAATAGGTTTTTTAAAGAAAACCTATTATGATCTTTAATTAAAACATTAATATTCTTGTATAAAAACTCTTGCTCAAAGAGCATGATGTTAATAACCTCCTGCATATACTTATCTTGATTGCTGTACTGAGAATTCCATTGTTCGACAAGAGTTTTATTATCTTCACACTTTTTTTAATATAAATTGTTTATTCGAATTATTTTTTCACAATATCAATTTACCTGATTTTTTAGCTTAAAAATTTCTTATTTTTGATCTTCTATTTGGCACTGCAACTCTGAAATCATATTAGTAAGATACATTATATGCTTATTCTTATCTTGATCATTTGCTCTACTATTATCTAATTCTTTTGCTTTTTCAGATTTGTCTGTTGAATACAACACATCACTGGTGATGATTTCTTCAGAAGTAAAACTAAAATTAACTCAAAATCTTTTATTTTCATGATCTAAAGCAGAATTATTCAAAAGCCATTGATAAAAGTAATTTTAGATACAACTTCATTATAATATTGTTGGCAAACAGAATATCAATAAGATTCTAAAAGAAAATCAGAAAGTTCTAACATAAATTTAACAAATAGCTTAAGCTATCTGACAGCTTCTAGAGCACAAGCATTTTGCCAGGCTTGCTTTTTTTTTATTTTGCAAGGACTTAATCTGATTTTCTTATTATACTTAGTGACTAATGTAAAAAATATGAAAAGAAGATTTTTGGCTTTTGGTTTTTCTTGAGCTAATGATGAATATGACATAGTTTAAATTATATGCTTTAATATTGCTAATTCTAAAGAAAAAAAAAAAGGAAGCTAATTTATTAAATTAAAGCATGATTTTTAAAATTTTGAGGTCTTATTTATTTGTTTTAGAAAATATTTTTTAAATGATCTTGAGAGATCATAAAATAGAGTCTTTTTACTATTAGTGTATATAGTTACAAGCCACTAACTAATACTATAAAAAGTTACAATTTTCATTTGAAGAGAGCTGATATGTATTTACATGGACCAATCAAATTTTAAGGATTTTTTACAGAGTTTTTAGAATCAATTTCTATTTTTGAAAATGTGCTTGACTGTATTTAGACAGTATTAACTATAGTACTATTCTTCTAGTTCTCTAAACTAGTCTTGATAGTACTCATTTCACATATTGACTACTTTATTCTTAAGATAAATCTAGCAGAGCTTACAGTATTCTCACTTTATACTACATCTAGTCTATATTTTAGTTTTGTATACACAGACCATGATCTACTACTTGCAGCTCAGTTTTATCTATTTCAGAAATATGTATAGTACTAGATCAAGGTTCTTGCTTATAGTTTTTTGCTCTAGTTTAAACTTTCTTCTGTTTTCTATCTATAATTTAAACTTAGTTTGGCTAAACTCTGCTTAATGGCAGAGGTCTTAATACTATTACTAAACTTCTAAGCTAGATAGCCTAATAACTAAGCACTTTTTTTTTGCATCTAGACAGATATTTTTTAAAGCTAGTAGGTCTTTTACCTTGATACTTTGCAATTGCAAAAGCTTTCAACTAGATTCCTGGTCCTCTTTCCTATTTGCAATAGTCTGGTTGGTGTGGGTACACTTCAACACCCTATATCTCGTCTAGTTCAATTTGTATAGATTTTGTTTCTTGAGTCTAATCTTTATAATAGCTCTGTCAAAAATCTGTACTACTCTCTATTCAAAACTTGCCTAGCAGGTTTGTATTTGCAGTTCTCTAGATTTACAGGCCCAAGAACTTATTGTGAGTTTGCACCTACTAAATACTGGTTTGTATGCCTTTGTATAACTTATACATTATACAAATGCCTTAGACCTTCTAGTCTTGCTAGTATAACTATAGCTACAGATATCTTATCTCAACTGATTAACCAAATATAGTTAGCTATAACTATACATGCTGATAAAATTATTCAGATTTTGAGCACGAAATTAAAATATGAAGATGAAATTGTTTTTGATCTATTTACTTAAAAGTCAATTTTTTTTGAAGAGATGAAATTATAAAAAATATAACTATCTAAATTAAATTTGCTTTTGCATATAAAAATTCTAAATTGCTCTAATAGAGACGAAATAAAGTTTTTTTAAAAACTTATTTTAGTGGCTGTATAGCTGTAATACAAGCAAAATTTTTGAATTTTTGTTGCTAGTAGGATTCGAACTCTTGACCTGCCACTTGGAGGTAACAACTTGACTACTTCACTATATTGCTACACCTCTTTTTATACTAGATTATCTATTTAAACTCTTTGTACTACTATATTCTTATAAGATTCCAATCATGTTATAGATGCATATCTATCTAGAGTTAATTTATTTTAAGATAAACTTACTAGAATAGTCTATATTCTATATATATCATCTAGATTTTTTAGTAACTTATATTTTAACTATAGCTAAATATTTGTAGCTTTTTATTTTTGCTACTATTATTTATTTTTGCCCTTGCAAAGTTTATTTAAATCCTAATATTAATTTAGATAGCCTAGAAAAAATATCAGTTCTATAGTATCTGCTAATTTTTTTTTTGATTGATATTCTGGTGGCCTGGTTAGTAAAGCAACTTGGCAATACTATTGTCTTATCTGGTTAACTAATTTCAAATAAGCCTATTTTAGTAGCTATTATTAAAAGTTTGTATTATCTTTCTACTTGAGTCTTGCTAAGCAGACATTCATCTTTTTGGTTCTTTGAACTTATATAATTATAAGGACTTATTTTAAATTTGTATTGCTAAAAGCTAGTTTGTATATCTTTATATATTGTATAAATGTCATATAATCTTTTAATCTTTTTGGTGCTACCAAAGAACAAAGATTCTATTCTAACCAATTGTTAAAAAATAGTAACTATTATACAAGTAAATATTTGAAATTTATTATCAATAAATTTTAAATTCTCTATTTTGCCAATATATTGCTTGGAGATATGATAATTTAACCACTCCACTAAGTCACTATACTCAGAACTTTAATATTTTTTAATAAATTTTTATAAACCTCTTAGAATTTTTAGTATTTTTAAAAAATTGCTTATCTTTTTAAAATTTTTAGTATTTTTTATAAATTTTTATATATTTTTAAATTTTTAGTATTTTTTTGATAAATTGTTTATAAATTTTTTTAAATTTTTAATTTTTTTGAGGTCTTCTCATATCTTTATTAGTAATTTTAAAAAAATAATAACTATATAGTAATTATATAGAAATACTACTATTTGTATAAATATAAATAAAAACAAAATTATATATAAAATAAAGCTTGAACATATTTATCTGTAATCTAAATCTACTAAAATAATCAAAAACTTATCTAGATTACTAAAGATAAAATAAAATTTATTATAAGATTATATTTAATTTAGTATTTATATTAAATATTAATTTTTTTGTCTAAGATCATGAATAAACAGATATCTAAACAAGAATATAATTAATCTGCTATTCTGCAAAAACAGGAGTATATATATAATTTTTAGATATAATTATTTCTGTAAATAACTAATAATATATTTTTTGATTGTAAATAAGGATATGTAATTTTATATTGCTTTTTTCAAATAGAGAAATTAATATAATAAGGTTTTCACAATTGTTTATATATTTGTTTATTGATTTTGAGTATTAATTGATAATGATATATAAGGTTAATTTGTAAAGTATATTAAAGTCTTAGAAAGTTTTAACTATAGAGTTAGGGAATAAATCTTTAAGTATAAGCTTTAAGTAATATAAAAAAAGCTATATTGCTATATAGTTAAATATTTTATAATTTTATATTTTATAAATAAGCTCTTCTATTTAATTAGATATAAGGTCTAGCTCAACTAACTTAAGATAATTGTTAATACAAATATTAATAATATTAGAAAGTGTAGTTTGGTTAAAGCAATTATACTAGTATAAGTATAAGTTCAATACTTTATAGTAGAAGCAGTTAATACCTTAAAAGATTGTTAAATAAAGATTATAATAAAAAATAGGTAGTTTATTAAGTAATGTTTTAATTTTGAATAATTAAATTTAAAGTTAGTAATATTGTAAGTAAATTTGTGATTATTATTTGAAATAAATAAAGAAATATATGTTTTTAGTAATTGAAAATAATAAATTAGAAGTCTGTATAAATATTAATTGTTAAATTATATAGAGCTGTGAAGATAGCAAATAAAATAGTAAAAATTTTTGCTTTATATAAAGTTAGCTAAAATTTAATTTGTGTATTAAATTGAGAAAAGATCTTGTTATTAATATTTATCTAAAAACTTAGTTTATATTTATTATACAGTAATTAGTTCTAATATTAAGAACAGATTCATTAGTATAAAAGTTTAATAGTTTGTAGTTTGAGTTGTTAATTGATATTTTTTTAAGTTTGATTGTTGGTTTATTAAATAAAAAGATAAAGTTGCAATTAAGTTTAATATAAAAATAGTAAATACTTAATTACTGTAGAAAATATAAAATCATATAGTTGATATTGAATTTAAATTTGTTATAAATATATTTCTTCAGAAATTATACAGAAATAATAGCTAATATTTTAAATATGCAATATGAGTCTATTTTGTTAGAGTTTAGATAGTACTTAGAGTTAACAATCAATAGATAAGAGTAGATAGCAATAAATAATATTAAAATCAAATTTTACTTGCTAGTATATAATTAAGAATTCTTTAGTTTCTGAATATTGTTTGTATATTTTTTAAAAATAATTTTATTATTATTAATAATAATTAGTTATAGCTTAGAGTTTTAGAAATATTATATAAGTATGAAGCAAAAATATTAGTTTTTATTTATTAATATTGTGTAAATGATATATAGTTATCTTTATATTCAAAAACTAGATCTTCTAGTATATTAAACTACAAAAATAGTTTTTTTAGATATTTTTTTAAAGAAATATTATATTCATAATACTGTGTTAATATAATACCCTTATATTTTAATTAGGGTTAGAGTCTGGTTTTAAGATAAATAGAGATTTTTATTATACAATATATATTAGACATAGAATTCTAATAGGTCCCAATTTTAGTTTTTATAAAGTTTTCAAAGGTACTGAATATTTTTACTTAGAGTATCTAACCTATTAATTTAGTATGTTTCTAAAATATAGTATAAGGGTATTAAATAATATAGTATTATAAATATAACTTTCTTTCTCTAAATCTTGGTAATTAATATTTTTATTCTAAAAGATTTTTATTGTTTGCAGTATATTTGAATTTGATTTGATTTAAAATTTCTGTATTTGAATTTGATTTGATCAAATCAAATCAAATCAAATCAAATAATATTTATAAATTTTATAAATTTTTAAAATTTTATTATTTTTTAAAACTTTAATTTACTTAAATATTACAATATTAAATAAAAAATATTCTTCTAATTAAAATATCTCTAGTCAGATAGGAAGAAAAAGGTGATTATCTTAATTAAATTTTGTATAAATAGCTATTATATTTATAGTTTCATTAAAAATTAAATCAAATATTCAAATATTTGTCAAATAAATCAAATATTTTGTCAATTTGAATTTGATTTGATTTGAAATTTCTGTATTTAAATTTAATTTTACATCAAATATTTAATAAAATCAAATCAAATCAAATTGCAAAACTCTATATAGTATAGAATAATACTATATTATATAATCTATATTTTAAAGTTAGTATTATAATAGTATTAATAATAAGCACCCTAGTCATGGTGAAGAAAAATATTCAGATCACATGTTGTAGATCATTATTTGGCCAATCAAATAAAATTTAATTATACATTTCTATTTTTTTTTTAACTTTTGAGCAAAGTTTCTTCTACAACTACCTAACCAATTTGAGAAATTTTTTTATTTTAATTCTATACATATTTAGAATTCAAATAAAAATTTTATTGAAGTTAATTTCGTAGTTATTGAGAAACCTCTCAATGTTAAAGCAAATCTATCCCATTTATCAACAAACTAAGTTATATATAACTTTGAGCGAAGGTTTCTTAACAACTACGTAGCCAATTTTGATGAATTTTTTTATTTAAATTCTACATATATATAGTATTTGAATAAAAAAAAAATTTCTCAAAATTGGTTAGCTAGCTATCAAGAAACCTTTGCTCAAAGTTAAACTAATCAAGTTAGTTTTTCAAAATTTGAGTGAGGGTTTCTCAACAACCATGAAACTAATTTCAATGAATTTTTTTTTTATTTGAATTCTACGAATATGTAGTATTCAAATAAAAAAAAATTTTATCAAAATTGGTTCAGTGTTGTCAAAAAACATTCACTCAAAGTTTATCTCATATTTAAACAAAACTTTGAACAAAAGTTTCATAGCAATTTTGATGAATTTTTTTTTATTTGAATTGTATAATTATGTAGAATTTGAATAAAAAAACTTTCACTGAAAATGGTTAGGTGGTTGTCTGGCCAATCATATTTGAGTGCTTAGAATAATAGTAAATAATGATAATTAAAATGTAACTGATATTTTGCCTAAAGAAAACCAGACAAAAACTCAACAAACTTCGAAAATAAAGCTTTTTTGAGGTTTTGAGTCATTGATATATTAGAATTCATAAATTTTTTTTTAAAAAATATTGAAAATAGTAACAGTATTCATAAATATATAGTATAAAACCACATTTTTAAATTACAATTACAATTATTTTAAAATCACTTTTATTTAATAAAGAACTACTATGATCCTAATATGAAATATGAAAATTATCATTTTTGTCAAATTAATTGTACACATATTATACAATTTGTCCTGGGCTTTTTGATCTTGTTCCTATTCTGTTTTCCAATTCTTATTTATTAACTATCTTAAATACTCAAAGAAAGTAATAGAAAAGACATATGCACTATGTATAATGGAAATTGTAATTATAGTGTAAGAATATTTTGTCAGAGTTAATAATTATAATGTGCTAAATTAAATTTTAATCATTATACATAAATAAAAGAATAATGTGTAAAACATAATGCAGTAATAGAAATTAGTATTTGCGAAATAATAAGAAATTAGATAGTAATTATGCAATAAGTGTATAGTGATTAAAAGATTATATAACAAAAAAGGTAGTCAGACATAATACTTGTAATTTTTACTTAACAATACAGTAATTATATAATAAAGTTACTTAGTTTCGATTTTTTATAAAATATAAAATAAATTAGTATCATAATTTTTTTTGCAGAATAAAATAAATAAAAATAAAGTCTCGTATAATTCAGTTTTTGTAAAACTATTATATAACATTATACAGATCCAATATTCAAAGAGAATAAATCACTTTGTTAACTTTTGTATAATGTCTAGTCAAGACCTTACTCAAAACCTTACTCAAGATCTTACTCAAGACCTTACTCAAGACCTTACTTAAGATCTTACTCAAGACCTTACCCAAGACCTTACTCAAGATCTTACTCAAGATCTTACTCAAAACTTTACTCAAGACCTTATTCAAAATCTTACTCAAGACCTTACTCAAGATCTTACTCAAGACCTTACTTAACATCTTGCTGAAAAATTATGTAGTAGTTGTTATGTAACAAAAGAAATTGTCACCCTTCAGCTACCAAATTGCAACATGAACATGCTACATATAACAAATGTTCTGAGAGAATAAAGAATAAATGAAAAGAAAAAAAATCGATACATTAAAAAATCAAAAAATAGTCCAAAGTAGTAGCAATATTACTTATACCTCAAGTGCAAGAAGTGATTTACAAATAATCGAGAGTATAAATTTCACTAATGATCTTCTAGAAGTGGCATCATATGAGAGTTTTAATACTGAAGATAATAACCAGAAAAATAAAGATAGTAACTAGGATAAAAATAGCAACAAAGATAAAGATAGCAACCAGGATAAAGATAGCAACTAGGATAAAGATAACAATTAGAAGGATGAAGATAATGATAATTCCAAAGTACTTCTATATAATTTGAATGAAGTATGTGAAATTACTTCAAAGTTATTTGAAGGTACAAAAGAATCTAATGAATTAGTAAAATTTGTCTTTGAGATTGAATTAGATGAAGATCTGATTAATACCGTCACTTTAACTTAACTAGATTTAGTTAATACAAATAATTTAAAAATAATTAAAAAAAGATTTAACCAGCTTGCTAAAATACTTACTATACCACTAGACTCTGGCTCTGGCTATTATTGAGAAATAAGAAAAATATGGCTAAAAAGCATAAAAAAATTTACAGGCTCTGCTACAGTATATCTTTGCTGTACAATACAAGATGATAGAGCCTGAATAAAACCAAATAACCAGACACCTAAACAGTATAGTAAAGCCAGAGCTCCGATAAATAGATATAATTGTATAGGAAAAATTAAACTTACCATATTCCTAGAAAATAAATATGTTCTTGTACAAGAAAATCATAATATAGCATACAAGAATCTAACATATCATCAAATTGAATTTTTTGTAAATACAAAAGAATAGATTCAAAATAATATTAAATTATATAATTTGCGAAGTACAGAAGTTTATTGCTGACTCTGTACAGATAAACTAATCAATCCAAAGATTCATATAGCTGAGCAAGTATACTACTGGATATCTGTACTCAATAAGAAAACCTATATAAAAAATTAAAAAAATTCTCTTTTATCAATGAAATTATATCTTAAATTGAATAATAAAGGGTTTAAAGTTCTAAATTACCTAGAAAATAATATTATATAGGCTTTAGGTTTTCTTACACCACTCTTTAAGCTTGTTAAAACCAATGAGTCTACTGAACTAATTGTAGATTCTACCTTCAAGACTAATCAAGAATGATTCAAACTCTTTGTAGTGAATTTAAATTGTGGTAGATATGGTATGCCAGTAGTATATATGTATCTTACTATATTAGATGGTAGTAAAGAATCTCAGCATAACTCTAGAAACTTCATAAACACTCGAGTTGGAGTGATATAATATTTTTGCAAGTTTTAGACAAGAAAGGTTGCTGCCAGTATTTATTTTAATAAACAAAGATGTGGGTAAAATATCAGCAGCTCAGGAGGTTTGATCATTAATATCTAACATCCAACTCTGTTGCTAGCATATCGAGCAAGCTATTGACAAAAAGATTAAAGAAAAAAAATTAAGGCAAGCATATATTCATTGAATAAAGCATTGAAAGCTCACTATAAGTTCAAGTTTATAGACACATTATGGGTTCAAAGTAGTGCTAGATCTCTCTGTTTAGATAATCTAATTAAACAACTTTTAGAGTTGGTTAAAAAACATGCAATCATGCATCCTTTTATTCTAGTAACCAAGAAGTCTTTTATGAATTCATGAGTGATTTACTATTTTTGTGTTTAAAAAATATACCAATTTTGCTATTTGAATAATTTTAATAAACTATGAATTATTTGTGAACCAATTGATATAATAAAAAAAACTGGAAGATATTTGCTCAGTCTTCATATTCACAGGCTATACCTTTTGCAAGCATGACAATGATCACTAAAACCCATTGGTGAGTTTTAAAATATAACTATAAATATAACTATAATTACCCTTATATAGATCGACTTACTTAAATAATAGCTAAGCATCTTGTTCCAGACTTTAAAATTAAATTGGCACAATATAATAGTAATAAAATTTTTCTATTATAGTGGCATGAGTTTAAAGTAGAATAGATCAAGACTACAAAAGCAGAAATCTAGCCTAAAGCAAATAAAAGATATTATATTAATGTTAATAACTAGGTATATTCTTGCTTAGCATATATTCACAGTTGTTATCATTTCTGTAAACATCTTGTTGACAAAAAAAATGGAAAAGAATTTATATTTAAATTTTCAGAGACATCAAGACAATATAATTATCCTTTATTTGTTTTGGCCAAAATAAGTTACCACCAATCACTCTTATGAATAACCTATGGATCCAGTTTGGCATAACATTAGCAGAAGACAATTCTATTGAAAAGAGTAGTAACAATTTACAAAACTTACAGAATATATTAGTAGAAATACACCACGATATAATTGAAAAAAGACAAGAAAAATATATATATTATAAAAAAAAATTTAAAATAGCTCTAACCTTGTATGAATGTGAGTTAGACAATGACAAATTTATAGCCAATTTTGATACTCTAGTAATACCTTTTTGAAAAAAATTGATAAATATGAAGAAGCATTACAAAGTTTTTACCAACAAAAAACTTGGATATTAGATAATTCAAAGCTTGCATTTTGGTTGTGCTAATATTATTTTATTTTTATTTAAAATAACTTAGTAAAGCTGATACAGTATACAGTATTATTCATGTTTATTTTTATCATAAGTACTATATAAATTTAGAATAAAGTGCAGGATTTAAAAATTATAGTCTTTAAGCATTCTAAGCAGAAATATATTATAAATTCAAAATAAAGTACAGGATTTAAAAATTATCATCTTTAAGCATTCTAAGCAGGAATATTTTTTTACTAAATTACAAAAATTTCATAAAACAAAAAAAGATAGATACCATAAAATCATTGTAAAAGCATTATCTACCATATTTTAATTAATCGATATCCCCTTGATTTGTACTAAGAAAAAGCTAGTATAAATCTGTTTTGCTATTTTTAGTTTATAAAATAATTATATGATAAAATACAGTAATATGATTGGTTCAAATTGTATCACAAATGATCTACAATATGTGATCCAGATATTTTTCTTTGCTATGGCTAGGGTACTCATTACAGTCTGGGAATATACCATAAATAGATAGTACAGATCACATCTTTTATAGAAATAGATCGTCAATAGATGGATTCTAGAAATTTTTAAAAATAATTGTTGCCTATTAAGCTTTTTTTATTTTGTTTTATTTTAAATCTATTTTTTTATTTTTTTTATACAGTGCTTTTATTTTTTATATTTTTTTTATTTATTAATTTTAAAAATTAAGAATCTAACTACTAAAATACTATATTAAGACCTAACTATATACTACATACTGTACTATACTATAAAGTATACCTTCTGACATCTCTTACTACAGGGTTTAAAAAATCTAATGCTAATTACTATACAACTACTAGTATCAAGCTTTTGTGCTATTCCAAATCTACCAAATTCTTATGCTACACCCTAAATCTACCAATCTAAATTTTATGCTATATTCATTCAAAATATATCAACTTTTATACTACATTCATCCTAAATCTGTCTATCATATTATGTTCATTCTGAATCTATTTAACTATTATGCTATGCTCATCCTAATTATTATAATACATTTATTTCAGCTATTATACTATATCAGTCCCAACTATCATGCTAGATTCCAATTATTGTACTATGTTTGTTACTAGCTATTATGATACATTCATCACAATTATTATGCTACAATCATTCCAATTATTGTGCTATGTTTATTTCATTATCATGCAAAGTTTCTTTCAAATCTACTTAACTACTGTGCCATGTTCTTCCCAAATCTGCCTAAACATCATACTATGCTTATTCTATTATTGTGCTATAATAATTTTAACCATCATACTATATTTGTTCTATCTATTTTGCTATGTTTATCACAACTATTGCTACATTTTAACTATTATGCTAAGTTCATTTCAATTATTGTACTAAATTATTATACTAGGTTTGTCCCAATTATTGACTATGTTCATCTTCGTCCCAATTATTGACTACATTCGTTTCAACTATTATGCTATCCCTTAAACCATATAGCAGGCAAATTTGCCTGCTTATTTTATTTTTCAAAAGTTTTTTAAGATTTCTTAAAATTTATTTAAGCTTGACCCCCCTATTTATTGAATAGAATTAAAGATATTTCTTTTATGAATAATATATTTAAATTTTATTATTCTATTTTTAATTTTGATCAAGATATTACATTTTTAATAAAACCTATTTTTTAGTTTTACTATTAAAATTTTAAAAAGTTTTTTAAAATTTTATATGTTTCCGAAGAGAAATTTTTAGTTACTACTAAGTAAAGTTTAAATTTTGCTTAATAAGTTATAAAAGATTTAATAATAAAAGTAGTGTAATT